GTTGGAGGAGAATATTGAAAGTGCCATGGGCTGCCAAAAGAACCAATAGATCTGTTTTGGAAGAAGTACAGCCAGAGTGTTCCTTGGAGGCCAAGATGACCAAATTTCATCTCTTATAGTTTGGACATATTGTCAGGAGGGACCAGTCACTGGAGAAGGATATCATGTTTGGTAAGATGGAGGGTCAGAGAAAGAGAGGAAGACCCCCAATGAGACGGATTGGCCAAGTGGCAGCATCGATGGATCCAAGCGTGGCAACAGTAGTGAGGTTGGTCCAGGATCAGGCAGTGTTTAGTTCTGCTGTGCATAAGGTCGCTATGAGTCGGTACCGACTCTATGGCACCTAACAACAACAACAACAAGAGACACAAAGTAGCAACCTGGGATGTCTCTAGTAGGAGTCCAGATACCAGAGGCACACACTACTAAGGAACTTTTGCTAAGAATCCTGGGTCCAGTGACAGGACAAAGAGGCAGGCTTGAGTATGAGGAGCGGCTGGTGAGCTTGAACTGCCAACCTTGTGGTTCAAACTGACTTTGCAGTCCAGCACATTAGAAGCCCTTTTATACAGGGACATCTATAAATGGATAAACTCATCAAGTCTTACATGAGATCACCCAAATGCTGGCTCTTTCTTTTGTCTTGTTCATCTTTTGTTCATTTAATCAACAACTACTGAGCATCTTAGGTGCCCTGGTAGTGTAGTGGGATATGAATTGGGCTGCTAAATGCAAGATGAGCAGTCGAAACCCACCAGCTATTCCACGGCAGAAAATATGAGACTTTCTGCTTCCATAAAGATTTACAGTGTTAGAAACTTTATACAGGGTCACTATGAGTCAGAAGTGACTTAACAGCACACACCACTACCACCACCACTGAGCATCTATGTGCTGAGTATTCTGTCAGGTGCCATGGTACAGAGATCAGAGATGTAGGAAATGCCTAGTCTAATAGGGATTTAGGAAAAACCCCTCCAATTTTCTTGGCTGTAATCTTTACAGGAGCAGATCGCCAGGTCTTTCTACCACAGAGCTGCTGAGAGGACTCGATCTACCCACCTTTTAGTTAGCACTTGAGCACTTAACTATGGCTCCTTATAGAATTCTTATATAATGTGGTAAATGCTCTGACAGCAACAAGCACTGCAGGAGTAAAAGAGAAGTCACGCACAGTATGATTTTAGAGAAGAATATAAATATTTAACTGTATTTGCTGGAGCAGAATGATGAGGCCAGAAAGACTTGGCAAGGGCTAGATCCCAAGAATACTCATCAGCTGTCACAGGGAGCTGGATTTTGTAACCTACTGTCAAGTTGTGGTGATGTGATGGTAAGCCAACTTCATCCATTCTAAATGAGTTCAATGACTTCTATGACCTAAATAGATTATTTACAACTTTGTCTGAGTTATGAGTGGGAAGGTTCTGGGAGCAGTAAAGGGCTCTGAGGAATGACAGAGGTGGTCTGTGTTCTCAGCCTGTTCCTCAGTCTGAAAGTCCACAGCCAGGAGAAAAGAAACTGCCAAGAAAGAACTCCAGTTTGCTTCAGAGAACCAAAGCCAACATGGTAAGACTACTGTCCTTTATGGCAGACAATGATACCTTCTGAGTGATCTTTCTTTCCTGTGAACTCTGAAAGTCTGATGATTCCATAAGTAGAAGGCCCTTGCATATCCATCTACCTCCTGTTACAGATGGGTCAACTGTCCACTGGGCAGGTGGACACACGAGATTAGCAGAGTGATATAAAATTGTAAGTCATTAGCCTATGTGGTGACTAAATCATGAATGAGGTTGAAATTACCCAGGGAACACACACAGCATTCTATGTAAATCTAGTCATGTTAATTTTCTGCCTAATGCCATCATATACATGCATGCAGTGTTTCCATACACAAGCAAAAGTTGGATAGTGAGTAAGGAAGACTGTAAAGGAAATGATGTATTTGAGTTATGGTGTTGGAGCATATTGAAAGTACCATGGACTGCCAAGAGAACAAATAGATCTGCGTTGGAAGAAATACAGCCAGAGTGTTTCTTGGAAGCCAGAATGGCTAAATTTCGTCTCTCATACTTTGGACATATTGTCCTGAGGAAACAGTCACTGGAGAAGGATGTCATGCTGGGTAAGGTGGAGGGTCAGAGAAAAAGAGGAAGACCCCCAATGAGATGGATTGGCATAGTGGCAGTATCAATTGGCTTAAGTGTAGCAATGATTGTGAGGTTAGTCCAGGACTGGGCAACTTTTCATTCTGTTGACCACAGGGTCGCTATGAGTTGGAACTGACTCGATGGCACTTAACAACAACAACAACCCCCTGCTTTACGGGATCAGAAACGGTTTCTGTTCACCACTGTATCTCAGCATCTAGCACCGAATTCTGCCTGATGCAGAAAGAAACTCTGTTTAAGTATTTGCTGAACAGATACAGTGTGAAAGGAGAATTGGGGAGTGACCCTTGCTATTACTCTAATGCCAAGGAATGCAGCAGCCATAGCTAAGGTCATGTCCAAAGACGTGAGCTTAGTCTATTTGCATATATCCTGGAGGAAAACTGAGTCACAGTGTCTTGCTCTGGTTCTACTGCGGCTACCATCTGTTCTCACAGCAGCTTTATTCATAACCTCTTATTTGAACCACTGGAAAACTGAGAAAGTGTAGATTTGAGAAATGAATATAGTTAAGATGTAGTGTTCTCTATTTCTGTACCTAAGTTAACACAGTCTTCATTCTTAACATTTAATGCCCTCGTGTTTTTTGTTTTTTTTTCTTTTTGGTTAAATGGAACATGGTATTAGTTCCTCTCTTTCCATATCCAACTAGCATAAACTCTCCACCAATTACCACAGATTTGGGCCTGTAGCCACAAGCACCAATTTTCAACATTCAGCAGGAACCCTGAAGTTCAAGTTCAAGTCCCAGACAATGATCTCTCAAGCATGCTCT